TGTCCTGCTGTACCTGCGACACAGGTAATTTCAAGAAAAAACGACAAGTTCTTAGAGATATCTCCAACTGGTATCAGATTGAAACGGAAGCACAAGTACTTTTATCAGATAGTTCTACAACTTTATTGCGCAAAGAGAAGTTGGTGTGATTTCGTCGTTTATTACAATAATGAGGATGCAGATGCACCTATGACAGATTTTTGGTATGAGCGGATATTCGTTGAAGAAACAAGACCAGGTTACAACTATTGTAAAAATAATATGAGCCGTCAAACGTAACAAGCTTTGTAAAAAGCAAGTTTGATGAAATAAATAAATCAATCAATCAATTATGTAACCTGTATTTGGATTTTGGTAGTCAAAGATTTATAATGGAAAATGTGGCCAGGTGCCTATTGCATAAAAATGACATAGCGACAATTGTCAAAATTTGCTATTTCAGCAACATTGAAATTGTCAAAAATTTCTAATTATATTTTCACCATTAAGTAACATGATAGGAAATATCCAATTATTTCGACCGTTTGTAAAATTAATTGTAATTATACCAAGAGCTACAAATACATAATTCAAGGTTAGTGGTTTCCAATTCCAAATTAAATGGTTTCTAGATTGCCAAAACCTCAACTCCGGAACAATTAAGTAAATAATGTTCCATTTTTCCACCATTTTCCATCATTATTTAAAAATGTTTCAAACATTATTAACTTAATTTCAGTATTCTATAAAATCGAAGCGGAGGCGGACCCCTATTAACTTACTTACAATACAATACTTTACAATAAATAATTTAAGATACAAAGTTGGTAAACTTTTTTCATTAAAGTTAATCAACTTGTTTTACGCACAATTTAACTCTCATGCTGAAAATCAGATAATCGTGTATAGAAAAAATGCGTATGAAAACAAGCCAATGTTGGATGTCAAAGTGTTTCGAAAATCTTAGTAACTCCAATTTTTTGCTCGTGGGATAAGGGTTGAAACCTTTGTGTGCAATCCCATGGCGTCGATGGAAATTGCTAATCAGAAAAGTATTAATCCTTCAGAGCAAGTTTTAATAATTTGTCTCAGGATGAAGGTGGCAAAGAACTTATGAGCAAATACTGAGTATGAATTAGCCGACTTAAACTTTTGACATCTCTTAATCCCTTTCAATAGAAATGTATCTTAGGAGACAAAATTATATTCATTCGGGGTAATAATTTGGTTAGTTTGGTTGGGCACAGCTTGCGTAACAGGTAATGTATTCAGATTGTACAAGGTATTCAACATTATGGCCCAACAAAGGCAATTAATCATTTGACATCTGACCTTCGTGGAGTAGCTAACCAGTATGATAAGCCTAGTCAGACATTTTTTTGTAATAATCGCCAAGAATTTTTGACGACAGTGAAGTACATAATTCATATAAAATTGTTGTTTCCATTCTAGATTTTTAAAATAAAATAGTTAAATAAAGAAGGGAATTAATAATACATAGTAAGTAAGCACACAATTAGCCAAATCCAAGAAAAGAGACTTAAAGAAAAAATCCGAACATAGGAAATTGAGGGTATAAAATAGTTATTTATGTAATTAAGTATTTCCAATCCTTCGAGATTGTGAAATAAATTATAACCAGCTGTGAAATGCAGAGGATAAAATGGCTTCAAACTTGACATGTATTTACGTAAAGAATATTTAAGGCCATCTCCGCGCCATAAATGTAAATTTTATCCCCTCGAACCATACGACTGCCAAATACAAAATATTAACGTATCGCGGCAAACCTCCCGTTCCAATGATCACGTGAACATGTGAGGACATCACGCGATCTTATGTTGCCCCATTAGGTACATATCTGCATCCCCATAATAATTAATGTTTTTAACAGAAAAAAACCTCGGCGAGAAATCTTATAACGTATCATGAAAGAATTAACAACTGCGTTGCGTAAATATGACGCAGATTGGAATTAAGCATTTCGTTGTTGGCAAAATTTAACAGTCGTCACATCCTGCTTGGCTATTGTTCAGAACTTTATGCCCCAATTCCGCCTCTACTGCTTCCCGTGGACGGTTTGGTCTGCCACTGTTAATATTATTCTTGTCGAGAAAACAGGCGAAAAATATAAGAGAGCTAGAATTCGAGCATTATCATCAATAGATTGGTAAGCCGTGATACTCTAAAAGTACATGTTTTTCGTGAAATATTCAAAATTGGATAAAGCTTCTCAAAAAATGTAAAATAAAGCTACAGATAACTTTTTTGTCCAACTGTTCTGAACAGTACTTCCTTTTGTGCATGCATAATGCATAAAATGCATAAAAATGCATGTCAAGGCAGAATGCCGCTAATTTCATATTTCACTTTTATATACACTTTGAGCATTGAAATTTTCTAACAATTAAAATTTTATCAAGTCGGAAATTACGAAAAATATTTTTAAATTCGAAATTTTTGAAAATGGTTTGACATTGCTAATATTGTTGAAAAACATAGCTTAGCATTCGTCCAATATCTTCAATATTCAGCGTTATTGCATTGTAATCAGTTAAATTATTTTTGTGCATTTTTGTGCATTTTGTGCACTTTTCCGGATTTTTGGTGGGTGTTATTAAATACATAAAAACATGTTTGTGAACTAATTTTGTGCATGTGTTTTTAAACAGCAGAAACACTGTCTTTAAGTGACTGAAATACGTGCCTCTCGTTTCGTGGAACTGTTTTTTAGTGGATTGTGCATTCATAAAAATGTTGCTAAAAAAACTTTTATCTGTTTTTTTAGTTTTATTTTTAGTTTAACTTTTTAATATGCATATGTCTCGTCGCTTACAATATTTCCTATTGTAAGCCAGTTTAAAAAAAATATATTTTGCCTAATAGCATCCCTTCAAATATCCATAAATCCATATAAAAAATTTCGCTCGACATGATGCTTCATAAACTAAATTATTTAAATAATTGAATTTCGCGCCCTGTTAACCCCAACACTAACAAATACATATTCCATTACAGCGCCAATCTTCAATACCATGCCGCGGCCTCTAACGATTCTCATCTTGTCCCTCGTCGTCGCCGTACTCCTGCCATCCGTCGACTCAAGTGCCGTCAATTTGAAAAGATGCGAAAACGGCAAGTCGTTCACTGCCCCGTGTGGGGAGAAGGCTGGTCATGACCGGAAAAATCCTGGCGCCCAATGTGCCTCCCGAGTTGCAGATGTCACGTCAAAGCAATGGGATGGATTATTGGGGTTTTTGTGACTGCTGTAGGAAAACTGGTGGCGGCAGTTGTCTCCAAATCACTACAAATGAGAGTTGGACATGGAAATATTACGATGGCCATCCCATGTAGTTAGCACCATTGGAAAGACAAATACAACTGGAACAACTTTTTAAAACTTGAACGCGTCTCTTTCATTGGGGAAAATAAATAATTATTTTACATCATTTTAATAAATAAAATTCAGCACAATCCATTTTGTCGGGCATTGTTGTGGCATAATATCGGTTCTTGGGGCATTCCTCCCGAGCAGTTCCTGTATCAGTGTCATAGAAGTATGACAAAGTCAACCTAAATATACTGGTCTAGTTAGGGTACGTTCTGAAGGCTAAAAATCGATTTTCTAGACCCCACCCCGTCTCTACTTTAACATGGCGTACAAAGGGCTAGTCGTGTAGGTGAACCTGAAAAATATTACAATTATAATCATTTTCCACGCGACGCATATCCTTCTCATTAATAACATTCATTTCACGATATCTTCATAATTATATCTGTATAGACCTTGTTTTCCTGTTAATTTATTTTCATCACTGTCGTGCATGTCGCGCGTTAAGTTAGGGGCTAAGGTAACCTTGCTACATAAAGTATGGTACGGTTTTGATTTAGGTATTAGAGACCGCGTCAAAAGGTAACACTTCCTCAATGGTCTCAAATGTGTTCACAATTTAACATATATTTTTTTTGTAGCTAATGAAACTTACACCCTCAAAAATCAAGAGTTTAAATTTTTATTCCATTCCCACACGTCTGATTAAAGTTGAGTCAATCATTTCGGTTTGAAATCCAATTTAAGATGAGCTGAATGTTTAGTTTACTTTCCTTCTTGGTATGTGAGATGAAACGATTTCATCTCATGTCATGATGGGATGAGTTTGAAATGAGATGAAGCGTGGGTTAAATGAGATGAGATGTTATATGAGTCTGCCAAAATGTTGCAGGATGAGATGAGATGCAGAGAAATGAGACTCTTTAGCAGCAATGGGTTCCATCTTATCTTATCATATCTCATTTCTTAATAAATGAGATGAGATGAGACAAAAATTTGAACATCTCATTTAGGTTACATCTCATCTCACCTGGTAGTGAGATGAGATACAATGACGCCTATCTCGTCTCATCACGTCTCACTGGCAAGCCTACTTCTTCGTGAAACACTAGGATATTTCCCAATTTTATGCAACAACGTGTAAATTTTACTCAACTGGTTGTGTCATCGCAAATCTTACTCAGCTTTGATTAAACATTGTATTAAACCTTGAGCAAGACTCAGTTAAATTTATTTAGAGTGCACAGATTATTTTTAAAAAGACTGCGTAGTCAGATTTTTACGATTTTTTTTTTGTAATACATAATGAACTCTGCGAATACACTACTTTACTCAATTGAATAAACTTAAAGAAGTTTTAAAAAAGAGGTTCAACGTAATTATTTATTTATGAAAAATCACCGAAACATGGACTTCCCTATAAAACCAGAATTGAAATTGTGTGAAAAAATCCGAATGACCTTCATACTCTAGAAATTCATTGCAAAACTTGATTTTGTGGTACTTGTTAAGTAAAAAACCATTGAGGATGAAGAGCCCATTATCCCCGTTTAAACTAAAGTCGGTTACTGAATAATGTGCATGGATATTTTTATAAATAACGGAGAAACCAGTTGATTTGGTGGTTAGACGGACATGTATAAAAGGACGTCAAGATACCAAAACTTCCTCAGTTGTGACTGCAATTAGACTGTATCATCGAATTGTACGGCAGACACAAGACAACGTAAAGGCAAGCCACTACTTTGCAGAAATCATGAGGAGCAAATATGGAAAAATGGTAAGTTTTTAGTTTAAGTTATTTAATAAAGTTCTATAAAATTTTATATTGAGGGGTTTCACGTCGCCATCGCAAAATTCGTAAATGACATAAATTTACAATATTAACGAAAATCCTAAATATGCTCACGAAGCTTCGTAAATTTATGCAAGGTTGAGACGTCCTTTTTCTTGTTAAAAAGAAATAATAACAGCCCAGTTTTTTTGTAAAGAATTTCGTTGTACAAATCTTCATGGTGATTTCATCTATTTCGATTGGATTGTAGAAACTCTTCACGTACGGATTTATTTACGAAGTTCGTTCAGGTGAAGGAGTTAAAGATTGCGTAGATTTACGAATATTTATTTACGAACCCACAGTTGCGTGAAAACCCTCATATCTGAGTACGTCGTAATGTTAATTCTCAATTCGTTGGTGTGTTAAATTTGGGACTATTGGAGAATCGCAAACTTTACTTTACCTCTTGAAAAGTTATTTTCACTTAACGGGAAACATATGTATTTTTTTAATCTACGGGTTGGCACAATGGGAAAAATTTCTCAGGGATTTTTAAAATTTTCAAAACACACCCAGCCTGTGAATGTGTACATATTTACTTAAGTAAATAAATAACGAAGTAATTACTTCGTCCACCTAATGAGGGACAGGCTAGGACACATGATTGGAAAAAATAATGCATGATAACTACGAAGGGTTTCCAATGAGATGAGACGATCTCATCTCATCTCATGATGAGTTTTAGATGAGATGAGATAAGATGGGGGCTAAATGAAATGAAGATATTATATGAATCCGCCAAAATGTTGCAATATGAGATGAGATCCAGTGAGAAGAGACCCATAAGCAATAATGTATTTCAGCGCATCTCGTCACATCTCATCTCAAAAAAATGAAACGAGATGAGATGAGACACACATGTGAGGCTCTCATTTACATAGGTTCCATCTCATCTCACCAGGTATTGAGATGAGATGAGGCCTCGTCTCGTCTCACGGGCAACTCTACATATACGATTGCACGCCCCATGTATGTAAACGGGTCAATTTGTTGCAAAGTTTCAGCTGCTCTTAGCACTTGGATTAGTGAACCTTTCGTGCGCTATCAAGGAGGACCACGGTTTAATGGATCTGATGGAAATAAGTGTTAAGAAACCGGTAATGTTAAAAAAACGGAATTTTCAAGATGTAAAAATGTAAAGAGATTTTGCACCTCCCAGTCAGAACCTGTCTTGGCTGAGAATGAGAAAATTTTCCCAGCAAGGAAAAATCGTGCACCTCGTCAGCAAAGGTGGCCTTTCGTTGTTTACGGCGGGTGGTAAGTACAGCCTTCATCTTAGAAACTATTTAATTAATGTAACATACAAGGTAGGGCGTCTGGTGTGTAATAAAACTCAAACAATTCAAGTGTTGTCCAAAGCTTTATTTAGATCGGCACTGCAGAATTCTGTAATTCCATTTTTTCTTGTAAAAATTTTTCTAAAAATTTCAATTTTTTTCAAAGTTTCAGAATTTCTCTAAAACAATTTCGATATTGCCAGGGCGAGTGTGTTCAATGAGTAAATGGGTGGAGATTCCACAAGTGAGATGTGTGAGGAGCGTTGGTGTGCCAACGCTATTGAAATATGGGCGTAATTAACCGAAAAGTCGTCATTTTTACACGGAAATTTTGACACATTATCGGACTAGAATTAAAAAAATAAGTCGAATGTATATAGTCGTTTTTCCGGGCACCAAAAAGGTTTTCCTCGTGAGCCTGCATAGCAAATCATGCCTTGTTTATGCTTAACTTTTTCAGAGTGATCTCTATCTCCCTCTGGTAAATAGTTAATTTCATAAATGGATTATTAATTATTAATAAACCATAAACAAAATACAGACAAAACCATTAAATGACCACTATTACATATGACTACTTATTAACAGCATTTCTAAAATTTATATTTTTACATACATTCGTAAATCCTCCCATTTCTTGTTAAATAAATAATTATAAGAATAATCCAATAATACTAAAAAGTGAAATTTATAACGATACTTTCCTTTCTTATAGTTCAGCCAGGCCGCGACTTATTGAAAATATTCCAGGCGTTGCTGAGACCGTTGTAAGTGTATTTATGTACATATATTCGAATACCTGCCTACATATTGTATTTATGATTGAATTATGTCCTCTTTTTAACTCTAGAACGTAATTGGCCCTGACCAATATGATGAAGAGGACAAACTACACCAATTCACCGAGGCTGATTTTGAGTTAAACGGCGAGCCGAGTGTAGTTGATATGATCATGTCAAGTCTTCATCATCGTCCTTATCAGCAGAATTAGAAATCTTGTTCTCCTCAAGATAATAAATTATCGAAAGGATAATCGGAACCGTAAATATTTATTTATTTATGTACATAAATAAAATCACAATATTAATTGTGAAAATTATAACATAAATTTTAACATTGCGTAATTTTGTATATTAACATTGTTCGTATGTAATAAAATAATTTGATGCTCTGAACAAGAATGATGTTTGGTGTCAAAATTTACCATGTTCATATAGTTGGCGAACTCGTAAAAAGTTTATCATATATTTTTATGGCAAATAGACTTTCGTAGTCGTACGGACTTCAACAGGATGGTTTTCGTTCGCACATTTACATACATATTTAAGTGCCTCATACCTATCTCGTCAATGACTAGGGTTGCCGTCCGATCGGATAGGATAGGATAAAAAAATGGTATCCGATAGGATAAATCCACTTCGTAGAAACGACAACCCTATCAGTGACAACTTGTCACCATGACAACCACTCTGAAAATCTTCCAACCAAATATAAAAATAATACAGAAAATTCTTACTACGTTTTTTTTGCATACAGTAAGCAGTATGTAAGCAGTAGTAAGAAGTATGTATTAGGTCAATTCATACCAAACGTTTGCAGACTTACAAATGATACAAGTTATGTATGGTTACAAACTTAACGTGAGTTGTCTCATGGTAATTCACTAATTTATTTATGAGTAAGTATACCTTGAATTCACGCAGATGCTATCAAACACTAATAAATAATCCTTTTTATTATACAAAATCCTCCACGTTGAGTCGCAGGTCAAAGTGAGAACATTTTTGGTAAGTTTTGAAAACAAATTTAAAATGTATAATAAAACAATAACTACGTGAGTCCATTAAGTTACCAAACAACGGACAATTTCCAACACTTCATTTTGCGAAGTTATTTCACAATGCTGACATAAATTTAGATAAATATTTTTAAAAAAAACTACATCAAAAATTGGTCGAAGTCATGCCATCTGTTACTTGTACAACTGTCCAGGTTGTACCCATTTTTAGGCTATTTATTGTGCACGAGCTGCCTGGATTTAGTGAAAATAGAGATTAGATAAGAGAAGGTTTTCAGTGGGATTATTGTCATTAGTGGCTCGCATTGTGCTGATGCCATGGTAGACAAATTAATTAATTGAGGCTATCACTTTAAAGCAAAATGTTAGTTATAAATGGGTCCACGATTGATTATGGATAAATCTAACTTATCACTTAAATCTCGTCTCATAAAAGGTGAGTTCCAGTTTAACAAAGCATTCTGTAATAAATGATTAAACAAGCTGTAATCCCATTATTTGCACGTCCAAGTCCTTCAGTAAACTGCATTGTCAAGAAGGCTTGGAACATTTTTGGTAATATTTAATCGATTGAATCGTAAATATCTGGAAATTTAACATATGCCGGGATATGTAAAAGTGGCCATGACATCCCGGCAACTTATAAACTGTATTTACGATAAAATTAGAATGAGATCACTTCGTGTTGTATTGCTTGCAATATATTTACATATATGCCGCTTAAGGCTTGTAATATACATAGGTATATGCCCCTTAAGGCTACATAAAACTCGTAATTAAGTAGATGCATTTGTGGGCACAAGGTACATTTGAGGAGTTGCTGGCTTAGAATATTACCCATCTCTGTGCAAATGTACGAGTATATATACTGTCAGCGAGTTCATCAATTTATGGCCACAAGTAGGAGAATTGTGTGTGTGTGATAAAATTTCGTTGTGAAAATGTGCTGTTTTATTTTTGCATAAAATGAGTGTGAAAAGTGCAGTCTCAGAAAATGTGAGACTCTGAAAGAAATGAGGCAGGTTGTGACACTCCGTAAAATCTGTATCCCTTTTACAATCCCCTTATTTATTTGTCCTTCTCCTTTCGTTGCCCAAGACATAATAATCTCCCAAAGAATTTTCTCAATACATACTCATGCATTCATACCATACAATACATACATACAATTCTACATTGTTTTAACTAAAAGGTTGTTTCCCACGTCCGGTACGTGAGGTCAGTAAGGCCAGAGTCATAAAAGTTGGAGAATTTGCTCCAGACAGAATGCAACTCGACTCTTGTTGGAAAAGGGTCGATTTTGTCACCTCAGCAGAGTTGGTGTTGGATGGTAAATTCTACTTTTAGCCAGGCTGCTCACACGGTTTGCTATTTGGTTTGTGGTTTATCTGGCTGGCTCGCTGACAATACAAATAGATCGGTGAGCCACATATTCACAATTTAATCCATTTACTACTATAAAAGTTTCCCAAGCGTTGATAACGGGATTACAGCTCGTTTAATCATTTATTACAGAATGCCTTGTTAAGCTGGATTGTTATGTAAATAACAAACACTAAAAAACTTGTGCAACCTGTCATCATATACATATAATATTCATATCCTCTATCTTCACAATAATAAATTTAAACTTTATTTTTTTCCATACACGTGAACATAGTTCATTGCCTGCGGAAGCATAATTAATTATCCCCAAACGGTTTAATTACAGGAAGGGAAAGATTTCTGTGGGGCATATTAGTCTTCCCGATGTCCCCACAGTTCCGTAGTCGGTGCAATTCTCCTGATAAATACTCTTTTTGCTTGACCACATTACGAAAATATCCCATGTGTCAGACGTGGACACGATTTATAACAAATAATGAAAGAGATAAGCACTTAATTCATTCATGACGCACGAACAGGATTTAATTATTAATTACAACACTATCTTTACGCGTGGACTTCACTCTAAAGAGCGTGGTCAATCATAATTAGCTTATAATCTTGTCATTCCCTATGGATGAGAAAATATCATTCATCAAGTAAAAGATCAAGTCATGTACACTATAAAAAATGTGGTCATGGACTATGTATCACGGGATTGTATTACTCTACTGGAATGATGATAATCTACAACCGTGTGGTGTTAGTTTGTCGCGGCTGGAATAAAACACCATCCCTGAATTAGTGACAACTATGTGGTAGACTATTCCGATTGAGTCATACATACGATAACCAAGTCATATTTGGTAATGGGGGTGAATCTTTCTGAAGTTGAGTTGTGGAGGGCTAATATTTCGAAGGTCAATCTACATCATGGGGTCAAAATAACCGGGTCAACGTGACGCGGTATCCATATATTACCATCGGTCCAATAACATTTAATCCGGTATCTCGTGGACATAAAAAAAGTTATCAAGTGGTAGGAAACAAATCCTCCCTTGTCGCAATCACTCGTTGCCATCGCGTAATTTCCTGTTACCAGGTCCGGTGACTGTATGCAGTTCATGACATTTTTATGGCGCCGTTATCTACAATTTTTTGACCGTCATGTAAAAACTTTCGGGTATCTCGTTTAAATATGGACTTATGTATTACCGGATTGTTTAGAGTGCCCATTCAAGCGTCACCACCGAAATAACATTCCATTCCAACAAAAGGATTTTACTCAATCTTTAATCCACTCTAGAGTAATCTCTTATCAATTCTGGGTGGATGAGTGAATATAAAAGGGATAAAGAACCTCCATTTTCTTGTCATTCATAGATTCACACACCTCCCTTTACCACGTTCGGTTACCCTGCCAACACGCCATTTACACTGTTTCGTTTTTGAAAAATGGATTTCCTCCGCCTTACCAACATTATTCGCATAATCTTGCTCTTCTCCATCGCCCCATCTTACGGACAACGTCTCTCCGCTGTCTATTCGTCTACAAGTCTTGAATATCCGAGTTCCCTAATTGCTGCATTTCACGATGGGGACGATTCTATTTATGTATTTGGCGGTCTCGGAGACATTGGCTTTATCAGGAAAATTTACCTCTACAACATTACATCCGACACGATCCGAACCATTGGATCTATTTCAGCATCACGTCTACACGCTGGCTCAATTCAGCAAGACAAAGATGGGAATTTATTATATTTTGGTAATGAAGACGTGAACTATCGTGCCATCAAATTTGACCCGGTACAAAATACCACTTGCCCAATCCCTGACACACCAGATTTGAATGGTTGTCGCGCTATCAAGTACAACTAAACCTCAAACATTATTCATATCGTTAGGAAGGAGGGCAAAATAACAACATTTAACATCGAAAATGAAACATATACCGAAATTCCAGATTTATCGTTTCGCTCCCTTGTTTCGACAGGTGTTCGAAATACTATCGTGGGATTTATAGGCTCTGTAATAAACACCTTGAATCTTGATAGTTATGAAGTTACTGCACGTAGTCATGACATGCCGTATTTTAAATCTTACGACAGTATCGTATTTGACGGTCGTAGTCACATATATTTGATTGGGTCATATCTCCCCACACCCGATAGACCTGTTAGAGCCGTCAGCGAATGGAACGTAGATACTTTTGAGCACAAATTAATTCCCGTGGATAATTTTCCTTTCAATGGTGAAAGCGACTATTTTTACTACCCGCCTGCCACCGTGTTTGTGCCGAAATTAAATCGAATTTATCATTTCGGTGGGACATATCAGCCAACCGGTGGAGGAAATCCGGTGTACCTCTCCAGTATTTGGTATTTGGATTTAAACGAGTTGAACACCACTACAGCCAAGCCAACGACCCAGTCGACTGAACTCCCCCAAACGAATCAAGAAACTACCCAAACTGAACGTACCACGGCGGCACTAACCACCTCCACCACGGAAACGGCAACACCATTACCAGATCTTGTCACGTGTCATAATAAAACTGAGGGTACGCTGACTCTCTATTCAATTAAAGTCTCACATAGTTCATCCTCTTTCAAAAACTAGAGAAATCTACCACCTTGTAAAAGATTTGTCGCCCTCCCGTGTGGTAACGATTGGTAACAATTTTATTACTAGGCGGTATCAAATAAGTTTGCCTCTGCCACAGTAGCTGCCCTACAAATAACGTGGTAACAAATCGATTCTGAACGGAGTCGCTATGTGTCTCTCTAACCGTGTTGGTTACAAATTGTTACGGAATGGTTACAATATTTGCCAGGAAATTCGAATTTATTACTCATTCGAATACTTTTTTACCCACAGGTAAAAAAAATTGAATTTGTCAGAAAATATTGTTACCAGTCGATAACAATTAGCAAGCAATATTGACTTCGTATTTGCCACCAAGGGATATTGAGGATGGTGACTATCGTGAATTATTAGTAACTTTTGAAATTTTATACTTGTATCCAGGCTGGCATCCGCATCCCTACGACTGCGCCATGTATATCGGGTGTCAAGCCAATGGAGACATGTTGCTACTCCGCTGTCCAGAACCTTTGCTTTTCGATCCTGGAGCCATAACTTGTCGACCACCTCAACAAGTCAATTGCGCAACCACATGCGTCGGAAAGCCCAACGGGGTCCATCCCCATCCCCAGGATTGTTCCTTGTTCATCACTTGTGTCAATGAGGAGCTGGCCGTTTCCGGGTGTCAAATTCCACTCCTCTTCGATCCTGCCCTCCTCCAGTGCAACCTACCAGAGTCCGTGACCTGCTAATTAACTTTGTTCTAAAGGAAATACATTCAATACATATCAAAATTCATTGCATTACAAAATCCAGTAATTATTTATTTCTCGGTCATGTCTACCTAAGTAAGTACGTACATATGTATATCCTATAAGGTAGAACTTGCCAGGTTGAAAAGTATCTGTTACGCGAGTCACTTGCCTTTCATACTTTTCCACGTTACTTTAAGCAGGGTTGGGGCTGGAGGGATATGCCTAGAAAAGTTGGAGAGCAATGACAAAGATATCCAAAGATGATGTTGTTTGACTAGGATTGTTTATAAAATAATAAGTATCACTTTAAATTAGTGAAATTCGCTGTGTGTAATAAACTGGTTGACTTTTAGTCATACGTCCATATTTTTTACAAGTAAGGATGGCTCTTATAATTAATTTTTATGATTTAAAAATATTGATTTTTATTATGTATTCTATTATGTATTCCCTTTACTGATGTGATGTAAATTATTTCGATTTGTAACCGACTTGAACCACGCTGCAAAATTTCCCGGAACAAAATATGAGGATGACAAAAATAGATAAGTCTGATCCATTTCCTATCAAAACCCAACATATTCTTCCTATTCCTGTCAATTATTAAGGAAATTAAATAAAAACGATGGAAAAAATTAAAAAATAACATTTATTTTTATTTGTATTATGTATGTAAGTTTGTCTTGGTAGTTACTTATGTAAGTCTAACAGTTATTAACAAAGTATTAGACGGGATAGAAGAACAATTGTTCTGTTCAAGCCCCCTCTACTATATGTATTTGACGTTTAAATACATAATTGTTTCAGACATAAATAGTACCAAGTACCTCCTGTGCCTATTTTGATCACGAAATCATCATTGAATAATGACATAACTTAATAATGCCGGCTCAACGAGCCCGCTGTTAGCAACTTGTTTTGTGGCTTGTCTGGGCAGCATTTTTCGGCGAGACCTGAAAACAATTTTTGTATCTCTAACTTTTTTCAGGAATTGGCAAACGCAAATTAAATTCATTTGTTACCCATTGACGCCAAAAATAATAAACCCCAAAATTTCGAAGTTATAACAAATTTATTGCACAATACTGACACAAACTTCGATAAATATTAAGAAAAGCTACATCAAAAATTGATCGTAGTCATGCTATCTGCTTCAAGTAGAACTGTCCAGGTTGTACCCATATTTAAGCTATTTATTGTTCAAGAGATGACTGGATTTAGCGAAAATAAAGATTAGATGAGAGAATGTTCTCAGTGGGATTATTGTCATAAGTGGCTTCATTTGTAAACGGTGAGTTCCAGGTTAACAAGGCATTCGAGTAATAAATGATTTAAGCAAGCTGTAATCCCATTATTTATGTACGTCCAAATCCTTCAGTCAACTGCAATGTCAAGTAGGCTTGGGACATTTTTGGTAATATTTAATCGAGTGAATCTGGAAATTAAACATATGCCGGGTTAAAAGTGTCCTTTACATCCGAGTTAAGGCAACTAATTAAGTAGATGTATTTGTAGTCACTAAGTATGTACATTTGACGAGTTGCTGGCTTACAATATTACCCATCTCTGTGCAAATGTACGAGTCTACATAGATCGGTAAGCCACATATTTACGATTCAATCCATTAAGTATTATCAAAATTTCCCAAGCCCTCTCGACAATGGGGTTGATAACGGGATTACAGCTCGTTTAATCATTTATTACAGAATGCCTTGTTAAGCTGGAACTCACCTTTTACAAATGAGGTGAGATTTAAATGATAAGCTAGATTTATCCGTAATCAATCGTGTACCCATTTATAAATAACATTTTGCATGCAAGTGGTAGCCTCAATTAAGTAATTTGTCTACCATGGCATAATCGCAATGCGAGCCAGTAATGACAATAATCCCACTGACAACATTGTCTCATCTAATCTCTATTTTCACTAAATCCAGGCAGCTCGTGCACAATAAATAGCCTACAAATGGGTACAACCTGGACAGTTCTACTTGAAGTAGATGGCATAACTGCGACCAATTTTGGATGTAGTTTTTTATCGAAATTTATGTCAGCATTGTTAAATAACTTCGCAAAATGAAGTGTAGGAAATTTTTAGGTTTATTACTTTTGGCGTCAATGGGTAACAAATGAATTTAATTTGCGTTTGCCAATTCCTGAAAAACATTAGATATACAAAAAATAATTTTTTTTCAGGTCTCGCCCAAGAATGCTACCCAGACGAGGAACGAATCGATTGTCATCCCGACATGGGTGACACACCGGAGCGGTGTGCTGCCCGAGGTTGCATTTACTGTGATGCTCATGTCCCTAACCAAAACGTTCCGATTTGCTATCTCCCACGAGACTATGGCTACTTTATGGTGGGATTGCCGGAACAAATTGAAGACGGGTTCAGGTAATTAAACTCACTGACTATGTCCAGAATTGCCCTCAGTGAATTCCTACAAATGATATATTTCATCACAAATCTTATTATTAAATTCGCTTTCAGAGTGAATCTTGTTCGAAGATCGACCGACACCATGTTCGGAGGTGACTCTGCCATCTCACTCTCATCGCTGAATTTCAGTCGGATTACAGACTACGCATTAAGGTTATCTTTCATACATGTGTTTTTAGCTGGTTATCCGTTTAACTTATTAACTTAGCTGTTCTCCAGATTACGGATGGAACTCCCCGTTGGGAAGTTCCACTTCGGATAGATCCACCATCTGGTGGAAACCAAAATCCCCTTTATGACATTAGATTCACTAATATCCCCGCGTTTTCTTTTAAAATTTTACGTCGAGCAACAGGCACAACCTTGTTTGACACTTCGCTGGGTGGATTCACATTTGCGGATCAGTTTCTTCAAATGGGAATTAAACTGCCGTCTCGAAATGTGTATGGAATTGGGGAAAATGAACAACCCACGTTTCGACATTCTTTCGAAAAGTGGCCGAGATGGGTCCTTTGGGCTAAGGGCCTTCCACCTTCGGTAAATATTTCGATTATTTTATAAACTGTAAATTTTAAATTTGAATTCAGGTTATGGTTTCGGGATCTAGTATGATGCCTCTCTGTACGGAGTTCATCCCCACTACACGGTTCTGGAAGAGGATGGAAATGCTCACTCTGTTGTCATCGTCAACAGCAATGCTCAAGGTGGGGTGTCCTCAGATTATTCTTGAGTTAGTAAATATGTTATTCTGATAAAATATTGTCGCTAAAATAAACAATGTTAATTTTCATACTTCTTCCAGAGTTTGTGATGCACCCACATCCCGGAATTGTGTATAGGACGATAGGTGGTATTTTCGATATATACATGTTTCTGGGACCCACTCCAGAAAATACAGTGGAACAGTATACCGAGGTATTTGATCAATTTAGACGACACATGAATTATATGGGTCAGCATAAGCATTTGAGCAAATTTGTACATATGCTCAACTGTACATTGAAGGCAGTCGGAAGATTTCCCCTCCCACCCTATTGATCTCTTGGATTTCAGCTCTGTCGTTTTGGATATGATCACATTGATAACCTAAGAACAGTCGTAGATCGGATGATCGCTTCCGAAATTCCTTATGTGAGTAAAAAAGTAATTTATAATACAAAGTAAACAGAAACGTTGGTATGATTTATAAGTGCTACATATTTTAAATTCTAGGACGTACAATATGGCGACATTGACATTATGGATAGACGATTAGATTTCACCGTCGACCCCATTAATTTTGCAGGGCTTGCCGAATACGTGACGGAATTGAAAACAAGAGGGATTAGGTTTATGACTATTTTGGTATGGAGAACTAAAAATAAACTTTTTCCGCAAATGTATATGTATTTCGTTATTTGGGGAAATGGAATACAACCACTGACATTCAAAATATTAGGATCCCGCCATCAGTGTGGGAGAACCGGCGGGTACTTACCCAGCATTCGATCTGGGTCAGGAGATGGACGTCTGGATCAAAAAGTCGGATGGAACCCCGATGCGGGGTCGAGTTTGGCCAGAAGACGACGTATATTTTCCCGATTTCCATAAAAATGCCACTAGAGAGTGGTGGATCTACTTGATTAAACAGTTTCACGAGGAATTGGACTTTGATTCATTATGGATTGTAAGATTTCATGATTGCCTGTGTGAAACTATTTTATAAAATTTGCTCCATATTTGAAATTTCGGATACTTTTAGGATATGAATGAACCCGATAATTTTGTTAACGGCGATATTGTGGAAGGTTGCCCCTCCAATTCTATAAATCAACCTCCATACCTACGTCGTAAGCATTTATCGACCTGCAATACTGTTAAATATTAATAACCGAGCTATGATACACTTCTATCTAACTCATTACATTTGAAGGAGTTCGGCAAGATTCTCTGTATGACCACACCCTTTGCCCTGACCACATTGATTCTGCCGGTATTCACTACAACACACACAATCTGTACGGTTGGTCAGAGTCGGAACCCACAGCTACGTAAATAACCAAGATTTCAACTTCACCGCAATTTACAAAATTTAAAATTACTATTTTTAATTCATCTTTCAGTGGAACCACGGAAGCCGTAGGAAAAAGGACGTTTGCCCTGTCGCGAGCCACCTTCCTTGGTTCCGGCCGTTGGGTAACGCACTGGTTAGGAGACAATTGGAGCAGTTGGGACAATCTCCACTTCTCCATCATAGGAATGTTACAGTTCAATCTGTTCGGGATACCATTTAATGGCCCAGATATATGTGGCCATCAATTGGATGCTACAGCAGAACTATGCGCAAGATGGATGCAACTTGGCGCATTTTACCCCTTTTCAAGAAATCATAACGCGTATGGAAAATTGGTACGAAATTCAAATCACTTCTTATTCAGGCGCCAAATTTAAAGTCTAAGTTTTAAAATTTCTCGAGTCTAGGACCAAGACCCGGCGGCATTTAACGGTAGCATCATTGAAATTTCGAAAACAGCAATGTCCATCCGTTACCACCTCCTCCCATATTTGTACACCCTCCTCGCCCAACATTCCATGAAAGGCGGCACAGTGGCACGCGCCCTTTGGGCGGAATTTCATACAGATCCAGAAACAGCTGGGATAGATCGACAATTCATGTGGGGTTCTGGTCTCCTTATAACTCCTGTGCTTGACCAAGGTGCAACCACTCTACGAATATATATCCCTGATGCCCGTTTCTTTGATTACTTTACGGGTTGGGAAGTCCAGGTTAGGAAAGCATGGGATGAATTTCCTATTACCCCGGAAACAATTGCGTTGGACATCCGCGGTGGATCCATTCTTCCCACACAAGGTCCTGCTGTTAATACAAATCTTGCCCGGCAAAATGAGCTGGGTTTAATTGTTGCGTTGGACGACTTGATGGAAGCAAAAGGAATCTTTTACTATGACGCGGGAGACAATTTGGGTAATATTTCATTATATTCGAATCACGTGTAAATTAAAATTTTGGCGGGAAGTTTCTATAAAAATGCTAAATATTTTTTTTTAAATCCGATCGGTTCTGGAGAATACTTCTGGGCCGAAATTAGGCAGGATCGATTTGGTGTCCTGAATTACACCGTAACAGTAAATGGTTATGCGGATATGAATCGTCAAGTTATGGGAAATATAACCGTGAATGGTGGCCCGGTAAGGACTAATATCCGTGTGAATGGTGTTGATCACGCTGAATTTTTCATGACACCTGAAAGTCAACTTAACATTTTCAACCTCGCTTTGGTGGCGAATGAAGATTTTATTGTAGAGATGTCTTAAATCACTAAGCATATTAAATCATTCAATTCCATCGGGAACAGATAATAAAATATTTGGTTCATAATGGTTGCCTGGATTTGAAATTCGCGGTATATATTTACCCGTGTTGTGAGCTTTGCCACATTATTTATCCAATTTTGATGGTGCTGTGCCTCTAGAATTATTTCGTTCATGTACAAATTGATCATCAACACGCCATTCGTCCCTTGTATCAGTACACTCATATCTACTATACAGGAATGTAAAACCAGTGAGAAGATTAGCAATATTCGTATCAGCAGAACACCATAAGGGTGGACGAATGTGAAATTCTTCATAAGGAAATAAGTAGGGTCGATATTGCGAAGTAATACTGGAATAAATGCGCATGCCAGGGGAGCAAAAAGTACGCTAGGGACACATAGATGGAGAAAGAGTCCGATGGGATCTATCTTGGGTTGATTGTTACCTAAAATGAGCAACAGAAATTGGTTATATTCTGGCGCGTTTGGCAAACAAGCTTGGCTTGTATGTATCTATTTAGTTATTTAACAGAATTTTGTCACACTTTGCAACCTTCTTAAAAAATTACAGTTCCAAACTTGGAAAAAAATTTGGTTAGAAAATAGCGTATCTCTACCGAAGTCTAGGATTGTTCAATCAAAACCTTTAAGAACTGTAATTTTTTGCACACGTTTCATTGGCTCAAAATTTATCTACCTTTTCGATCATTTCTTGATTTCCTCAGAACTTCGATATTTCTGTAAACAAAACATATCGCTCCGCCATGAGAGTGCTAAGTTAAAATCATACAAAGCACTAACACCGTCACGCTTTCGCTGACCAGACACACAACTCCGTGTACTATAGTAAACTCTACATCTGATTGATGAATTAGTTCATTCGTCAACTTGTAAGACGCGTAGATTGTCCAGCAAATATTAAAACCGTCAAAGACAAGAAAGCCGGCAATTTGTTTATCGGGGTAGGATATGGAAGCTTTCTATCCCAAGTCAAACTTTGCGTGTAGAGTCCATCTGTTAGTTCTGTAAAGCGTTGCAGAGCTTGGAATGGTGTGTGGCCCGGAATTTTAAAGCTTTCCAAGAATTTTGAACTACACGTCGGAAAAATATTTGGTTTTACATATATTGAAAAGAACTCTCGAATCAAGACGGCCATTACTGGGCACAGTAACAAAATATAAAGAAATTTAAATTTGTTTAGATCCATCCACACAAATATGCTGTCATTATTTTATATTAATGTACCATCTAATCCAATCATGGAATCGTTATATTGTAAATATTTCAGTATCAAATAGGCACATCGCGTTGTATAAGAAGAAATTTAATTGACTTAAAATTAATTCAAACTCACGACGAAATATTTGGTATCACTTATCTCAAAAGTTGGCAAATTATTAGGAATGCAATCCTACGGTAGACATAAAATTGGCTAAATTTTTGATATTACTTTGTTCATTGTTGACATATTCCTAGGCAGTGTTTAACCCTTTGTGGCGTACATTTTGCAATACCATATTTTTCTAATCAAGTTGATCAACAACATAGCTATTTTTTACTGTGACTTTTGGCATCTGTGGGTACGAAATGTGTAGGTACGAAATTTCTAGGGGACAAAGTGTATCAGGGACTAACGGTGGGGAATGAACCCTACCAGCACAAAACACAGATTTTTGTGCCGATTTGCCCATTTTATCGGTACGGATGCAGTGCCGATTTAATACCGTTGGTACCTTATCGGTACTGAATCGGTGCCGGTATATAATCGGTACATAATCATGGGTACACAGCATGTACCGAAGGCAAGCAGGCAAACTGGTACCTGCATACCGGTACTGTTTAGAATCGGCTGTGTACTCATGATTATGTACCGATTATACTTGTACCTAGTTGGCACCGATTCAGTAGCGATAAGATACCGACGGTATTAAATAGGCAAATCAGCACAAAAATCGGCTGTGTTTTGTGCTGGTACGGGGGTGCCAAAAACCGACAAAAAGTCATGTCGAAATGTATGACAAAAATATTTGAAAAGCTAAAGTCTGCAGCAAAAATTGTCTGTATAGAATCTTGGGAAACTTGAGACTTCTTGTTCCAAAAGTTAATGATGGAGTTTAGTGCAAAGTTTGCATTAATATTCACACATCTTCCCGGACTGATCTACCTGGACAAATCATCTAGTTTTTAATAATAATAATTTATTACAATGCGATATCCCAGATGACTGGGTCATTACGGGAATCTCCTAACCTACTCCAACAAGACGTCCTCCCTTTCAAAACCTTTCTGTAATCTGTTCTTTGAAATCTGGAATACATTGGTGCTTTGAAACAGATAGTTTGACGAGGGAACGATTTTTTCTGCCCATATTTGCCCAAAAACCAATTATTTATGTAATTTATGTAAACATTTTTTCATTTTTATCGACAATATTGCAACCTTCAAGTAGTACAACGTCTTTCTTTAATTTAAGCCATCTCATGTACGGAAAGACAAAAATTATTCAACTAATATAATTTCTTAATTTCACTAATTCAACTATATCCCTATAATGTGTTATCCAACGAATATTCAGACTCTTCTGTGCGTCATACATGATTGTTTATCATGTTTGTAAAGTCTGCTCTTGTTAAGAAGTTTTATAACTTCGAGCCCGGATTAATCGATTTACTTACAAGGAAAACTACCGAGGTGTCCAACGAGTTAAGGGTCGACACCTATACCAAAACGCGCACAATACATGACTTCTGTCGTGAACTGAAAGAATTTCCGTGTAAAATTCACTTTTCGTAAAGTCGTGACGATGTTTGTGACGAGCGGGTCACCATCGAGCGCAATGAGTTTCCAGTGGGGGAGTCCCACTCCGCTCATCCTCTCCGTTTGTTTACCTTGCTGATGAAAAACTCCAAAGCCAGATTTTTTAATTTCAAAAAATTCTGAAATTTTGAAATTTCTATGAAATTTCAATTTTTGGAAATTTTGATGAAATTTTGAAAAGTTTTTGAAATTTTGATGAAATTTTGAAAAGTTTTTGAAATTTTTTGAAATTTTGAATTTTTTTTGACATGTTGAAAAGTTTACGAGACTTGAATGCAATTTCGATAAAATTAAAAACAATGACATTTTTGAGAAAAATAAAAAAGGACGATATCAAAATATTGGCTAGTTTTGGAGATGGATTTTTCATCATCAGGGCAGTGTAAACAAACGGAGAGGATGAGCGGAGTCTATCTCTCCCCATTGCACTCGATGGTCAACCGCTCGTCTCAAACATCGTCACAACTTGACGGAAAGTGAATTTTACACGGAAATTCTTTCAGTTCACGATAAAAGTCATGTATTGTGCACATTTTGGTATAGGTGTCGACCCTTAACTCGTTGGACACCATTGGAACGGTCCCTTGTTAGTGGAGTTACCGTGTTCCTAATGATAATCTGCAAGCGGACTGACTTCCTGGTGACAGCATAGATCGGCATGGTCGCTCGACCATTGGTCGATTTTGCGACCGGTTGGTCGATGGTCGCAAAATTGACCAGTTGGTCAATGGTCGATGGTCGATGGTCGCAAGAAATTTGTCATGGTCGATGGTCGCAAGAAATTTGTCATGGTCGATGGTCGATGGTCGCGTGAAAATGGTCGATGGTCGATAATATGCCGATCTATGGGTGACAGTCATGTCTTTTAACGCAGAATATTAATATATTCATTTCCTGCCCATATACCCCTTGTACTAACAGAAGGAAATGAAAGTATGTATATTTAAGTTTGCTACCGCTGATATTGACAGCAGTTACAAGCATACCTGATGCCCTCCCCCCGATTACAATGGACTTTGTACGAACAATACGACCGTGCCAGCGGCTTCGCTCGGATTTTAATGGGACCAATTTTAATTTATTCACCACAAAAATAAGCGGACCCGTGTTTTGGGTTTTTTTCTTAATGCGAGCATTAGAGCGCGTGGCGGGCATTTCAAATATTTTATCAGCCAATACCGCGGATATTAAAATGGCCTAAGCTTTTTGAATTTTGGCGCGAATTCAAAAATCAAAATACATATTTGCTTGGAATTACTTTCTCTAGAACATAAAAACTAATTTTTCATAAAATTTATACGTATATGGATATGGATAAGTATTGGAATTATCAATTTTTTAATCGAGCGAATCTAATTGTTTATGTAAAAAATAGAATTTTTTAAATTTCGTAATCATTTGATGTATTAATTAAATCTAGTGCAAGTGCTTTCTGTGCATACATTTAATGCTTTGTTAGTGTCTTAAATATGCATGATCTTATAACTATTGCCATCTTGATTCTATTTAATTAAAGTTACAAAGTTTATGATGTACATATAAAACTACTTCAAAACCTTGTTTGATCCTTGTTAAGATTTACATTTACAGTTGTAGCATCTCTGATGTATAACATATTTAAGAAGTGATAAGTAGGTAACTTTATTACGCAAGTTACACAATTATTATCACTAAAAAATATCCAAATGGCTTACAATTTCTGACAATTTAAAAAATAACCCTACTTGCTTTAGTTTTTAATTCGGCAGGAGCATCAGCTCACCGAATAGTGTTTTTTTTTCAAGAATAATTTACTGTCATGAATTAGGGCTCATAATCTAGCTTTTGTATTATTGATGTCACTAAAATTGAGAAAAGTGCGAATAGGAAATTCTCTGTTTTTTCAAAAATACAAAGACAACAATCGAAATGTGGTGATACTGTTTTGGTAGTCCCACCATCTGACTACTGAATTATGTAGTTTTCTTAAATCCATTTGGTGTAAGCAAGGATTAAGACTTGGCAAACCGTTAGAAATGTCTGGATGTATCTTGGTACTGTAGCAACAAATTGTAAAACTCATTTAATATCAGTGTTCGCTATTTGGCAAAAAGGCATGCCGAAAATTATGCCTTTTTGCCGTAAATGCCTTTTTCAATGCCGGATTGCCGTAAACCGTGCCTTTTTGCCGTAAATGTGCCGTAAATGCCGTAAACTAAAATCTATGGTTAATTTATGAGACAATTCAACCAAGTAAAATATAAGTTGACTATTTTTCTAAAATACAACTGCTTTAATTTGGAAATAAATTTATGAATATGTATTATAATCTGTGTAAGTAGGGGTGTGTAATCTTTGCACTTATAATTACTAAAGTTCAAAGTTAATTATTTTATAATTTAGTAGTTACTATAATATTTAAGAACAACAATATTTTAGAAAATGTAACATATTTTTTAAATAATCATCTTAAATTTAAAACCACTATATTCATACCTGTATGTATTTACGTATTTTTGTACATACATATTCAGCATCCTGATGTTGAATATGTATGCACACATGTATATGCAGACATAAAGAGTTGAGTATACATAACTTTTACAATTTAGGTTAAAGGATTTATACATAATTATGAATAAATAATGTAACTTTAATTGTGAAAGTTATGAAGGATATTTCCATGATTTCCTATGCATATCAATAAATAATAACAGATTTTCATTTCTGTTCATCAATAAGTACGTCAATTAAACTATTTATTGACCAGAATATCAATTAAACTGATTTGTATGAAGTATTGTATCACTTTACCCCATTTTAAAAAAAGGCATTTACGGCAAAAAGGCACGCATTTTTGTGCGGCATTTACGGCACGTTTACGGCAGTCATGCCTTTTTGCCCTAGAGTACACTGTTTAATATCAACTTAAAATGTTTCCCTTAACTTTTCACAAATTAGCAAAAAAAATTACTCATTTCTCCCAGTAATTTCATATATAAAATCTAAGACGGCTGTTATCCTCGTGAAAAATACAGGATTTCCATCTTCACAAAATGGGTTCACCCAGGAAGAAACAATTCCTACAAGAGTGTAGTGTGGATCCACACCTTCACGTATCATTAACGGACCCCCAACATCACCACGACAAGGAGATTGTTTAGGTGCCGGCTGGGCGCACATACGATTTCCAGTGAAAACCCACTTGTCGGGATTATGCATTGGGCTACACACCGAGTTATTCACTATGGTCAAATTTGCCTTCTAGAGAACTGGGCTTGAGCTGCCTTCACTACGGTTTTCACCCTATCCCGTCACAAAAGCGGACTGTGTTTGATTTCAAATAGAATTTATTTCTAAAGCTTGCACAAATCTACAATATACATCGACGATCACCTGGTTCTCAAAAGTCTCTGCTATACGTGTCCACTTCGGTAGGCAAATGGGGCGAATATTGTTTGAAAATGTGAGTTTTTCAGGTAGGCGAATGATTGCAATGTCATGAGATGCGGGGACAACTCCCCACTTGGGATGAACAAAGATATATTGTCGAGTTACATTCACAATAATACGACCAGGTTCGTCTTCATTCGACGCGTTTATGTTATGACCCCCGATCAATAGGGTGACGTAGTTTGAATGGACAACACAATCGGCTGGAGGAACAACGAGGCATTATTTATATGTCAACAGGAATTTAGTTTTCAACTATTTATTAAGTATTTACCCGCTGTTACAATGTGGTTAGCATCAATGATACTCCCTCCGCAGTAAACCTTATTGTCATACAGTAATGCAACCATCCAGGGGTAAGTGTGTGGCTCGGCTGGGTTGTCGCCAAATATGCGACTCTTGTGAACTGTTCTTGAGTTCTGAGCAGTCCTAACCGCCATGACTGGCAGGGCTGTAGTAGGTGATTGGGAGTCATATGTTGAACGACCACAAATTCGGTCACCTTCAGATTCCAAATCACCTTGCGAAGGGTCAACAAGTTTGACCACATAGAGTAGTTTGAAACCACTAAGGGGAAATTATTTGATAAGGAGGAATCCTCGTTTATCGTTCAGTACCCGATTTCTCTGCCCGTTGCAGTACCACATGAACACATTCGATGTCCTAAAAGCTTTTATTGCATGGCCTCATCTGTCCCCGCCAAACCCTCTGAAAGGAATGGATACAACTACAACTGATGAAGAAACTATATGACGTTACATCAGTGGTAAAATTTTCAAAATCTAATCGAAACTGGATTTTTGGTCAAGATACATATACCAGAAATAAAAGAGGGTTTCCCCCATTTTTGGCATATTTTAGTGAGCGTCGTCGACGGAAATAGGGCCACAGACCAAAATCCTGCAAGGATTTTATTGTGATCATGTGGTACTACAATATATCCAAATGGCTATAAAATCGGATCCTGCAAGGTAGACGATGTGTGCCTCTTACAAGGTATGGTCCTCGACTGGATCGTTTATATGGGGTCCAAGTAGATTCTAAAAAACATAGTGGGTACAATGAACTAGGGTTACAGTCGAGGACCATACCTTGTTAGTGTAACAGAACTTAGACGTTGTACAGAGTAGTTAAGGAACAAGGTATTAAGCGAACTGAATAATTTTGGTAATGTTTTCTGAAATTGCTAGGCACAAGGTTCCCGAGTAACCGGTTATTCGGAGCAGAAACCCCAACACCACAATATTCAAAAATACCCAAGGTTACCAACCCTGCGAAGGTAACAAATCATTTATGACAAATTTTTAACGACACTGTAAACTAACTTAATAAAATTTAGTAAAATCAGTTCCCATGCTTCCATTTTTTTCAACCACACTGTGCAACAGTTTGTCATTCACGAATTATTCACCACAAACCTAAATGTGCCAAAGAATACCCATGACTTCCTTTTGTAGCTAGATCTGAATCCAACTCTTAACTTGTTCCCGTTTGACTGCAGGCTAAAAGGCGTCATTTCATTTAGATCCCCAGTATAATAATCAACATGGTTGAAAAAAACGGTGTTTCTCTGGAAATAGTCAGTGAATCCAAATATTTCGAAAACCAATTTTTGATATTAATATCAAAAATTGTAGCCTGAATGATAGTCCCTTCTGGAGCAGATAGCAACCATTCTAACCGGGTCCAAGAATCATACTCTATAAAGAGAACACATACATACTGGGTGAGGTTAATCCGGATGAGGATTTTTCGTGAATATTGTTTCAATAAATAATTTACGTGAAGTGAATAATTCGCATTTTTCGAAATATACGTATAAATATCTCAATTTCACTTTTACAGCCCAATACTTGCAGGATATTTAGGTGAAGAAATTGAACCATAGTCCCATAAGGATAGATTTCTAACCTCCCTGTACTCCTGTGAGAGGGCCTTTGCTATCAGTAGAAACTAAGAAATAAATTTTGTCAAAAAGTCTGATGCTTGCATTTCTTACCCACTTTTGTGGCATTTGAAGAGGCGCGGGTCAAGTTGGGTAGGTCAGCGAGGCGAGCAGCTCTTAGTGGATTTCTTTGGAAACTAGTCGCTCCTTTTGTCTCCGCAAGCAGATAAACAATTAATCCTAACCAAGCAAACATTACAATCGACTTTTCCTTAAATATATTCCTACGTATGGAATTTTGTTTAATTGCGACAATTTATCTACGCACTACTGAGCTCCTGTTTCCTTATATAAGGCAATTAGTGGGGTAGTTTAATTGGTTAATTTTTACCCAAATTTCGAATTTCAAAAAATAGCAACTCCTACAAAAATTGAAATTTTCGAAAAAATATTAAAAATAAAATTTTATATTGTAAAAGAAGTAATTCTAAGCATACATGTTTTTAGTTTTTTTAATTCGCGCTAAAACTCAAAAAGTTACAGCCATTTTAAAATCGGCCGTTTTGGCTAAAAAAATATTTGAAATGCCCGCCACGGGCTCAAATGCGCGCATTAGGAAAAAAGCAAATATACGGGTCCGCTTATTTTTTGGTAGGAACAAATTAAAATTAGTGTCGTCCAAATCCCAGTATTACACGAGAAAACACTGCATTGTCAGTGCTTAATTTTTTTAATGCCCATGGTACGATCCTATCCGGAATAGTACTGTTTCGATATTTAAACTCACCTCATTTTTACGCCGAGTTGAAGATTTTAGATGGACCACCAAAACCGCTGTTTACCTTTGACCCGTCCAGTCAAGACGGGATCCTTTCGGAACTGAAAGATTCCAAACCCAGAGATTCTACAATTAATAACATATTTAAAACAGCAGCGGATGGAATGAACTCTGAGTTTGTTGTGTTTAAGGTAGTGATGTTTATACATATTTACTTTTTTAAATAAAGGTTCAATAAATTTAGTAAGAAATTTATTCCGGAATCTTGCAGTTGTTCTTTTTCCTCTTCTATGCCATGTTTGGTCCATTATTTCCATTTTCGACCTTACATTTTGAACAACTCGGCCTCAATGGGGCGCAGGTGGGTGTGTTGGTTGGACTAAGACCATTCATAATATATTTTATGTTTATGTTTATAGAATATGTTTTAGCCAATGCTTTGACCTCAATCATATAATTTTAGCGTACTTACTGAAGTCAAAATTTCAAGGAGGATGGAGTTTTGAGCAGGCTACATATGTAACTGCATATATTTCTTTTTAAGTTGTTAATGTTAACATGTAAATACTTCAAGCAATTATCTGTATTAACATGCCGGATTTTATTTACTCATCATTTTCATTGAATGCATACATATGTCTTAAACATTATTAGCTATAAACAAATAATTTTCATTCGTTCGACATATTTTGTCCAGAAAACTTATCCATATCATAGTATTCGCTATTGTATCGTGCGTTACATCCTTGGATTAGAGACCTTATTTCTATTCCTGTTAAACTTGTGTATCCTATAAGTTCTGCGGTTGAGAAACAGGTCGAGTTTCCAGTAAAATCGTCATTCACAAAGCCTGTCCAGCTCGATCTACCTGTGAGAACCAAACCGGTAGGAATAAATCCAAAATTTGTGCCTGCCAAGGCAGTAAAAGTACGCTCGATCCCGTATGAAGTAGGTCCACTATATATTGAAACGGACGGTGTTGTTGTTTCCAGGGGTCCCATATGCCTCAAAGATAATGTGGTTGAAAGTGTGTAGTTAAGGCACCGGGGGACAAATGTGATAGGTGGAGATAACGTCCATACAGCAGTGTAATTTCTCATATCATATCCTCGCCAACTGTATAAGTGTTAAAAAAATTGTATGATGGATACGAACAACTTGACTACACGATGTATTTTGAGAATGGATTATCAATTTACGAAGTCCCTATACTTGATCTAGTTAAACGGGAACATTTTGTGTGTCATCCTTGTGGTGTATGCTGCCGTTTTAATACGCAAACCCAGAAGTAGGCATGTGGATGGTTATTTCAACCAAAATTGTTCTGGCAAAATATAACCTCCACCCTCGCTACCTTACAAAAATACCAACATCTTACAGTCTTACACCTATCCCACCGTCGAGCTCTGGATCAACAATATGTATATGCAAGCATAAGTAATATGTATATAATATATTTATTTATAAATAGTCCTTACTATCCAATATAGCAAAATGATTTCACTTCTCCCAACAGGACCGAGTAATGTGGCGAGAGGTCTGGCTCTTTTGTTCGGAATCGAAACGCATTCCCTTCCTGGTCAGGTTCCGTGTAGAATGTTATCTCCTGCACGTATCCGACCGCAAAATTCAAACAGGCGGCCAACCAAAGTAGTGGCAGCAACATTTCAACAACGCTTGTCCGAAACTTAAATGATGACATTTTCAAGAACGGGTTGCATTTTATGCTTATGCTTGGTTGCGTCATTGGCATAAAATTCGTCGAAATTATTGGAAATTATATGAATAAATATGTCCTCTGTCAGATAAATATTGACATCAAGTGCTGATTGGGCTTTTTAATTAAAATATGACACAATAATTTATTGTTGGGTTTTCCAAGTATCTACTTGACTGGATAAATTCAAGGTTGGCTTCTGATAAATGTCATTTATTGTTACAAGGTGCCCAAATAGCCCTGATAAATCATAAAAATCGTAATTTATACATTATTTTATTACGAATCAATTATCCCATAAAGCCGACAATTCGAATGCAATATATCAATCTTAGATTGTCAAGAGGTTAAAAACGCTGATTTCTAAACTTGCAGATAAATATTTTGTTAACAAAGCTAATTGCATCACAAGACCAATATTCGGTACACCCTGATCATTTGTATTTATCTGAAAACATTCAACTCGCTTTTAACCTCTTGAGGGCTAAGAACGACTATTGTTGCATTTTATGAAAATCCCTAAGAGACGATATACAACTATAATCGTATTTCTAAAATGTCCCATGGAGACTAAAGACGACTTTTGTCGCAAAATCGAAACATCCCCGTGAGACGACGGACGACTAAAGTCGTTTCCCCAGAAAATGCCCTGGAAACGATGAACGACTTTTGTCACTACCTTGCCATAGAGATTACTATTTGTAGCCCGAGTCAAATTGTTGGTGCATAATATTCTGAATTGTCATGATTCATGAAAGATTGGTCATTTAATTCAGAAATAGGAAATATGTATTATATTAAAACGACATTATTCACGGGATCTCAAAATAATATTTGGCATATACCTATGACCTATGTTAGATTTTTCCGATCAATTTATGATGAAAATGTGGCTACCACCCTCTTGGCTCCTGAAAACAGTTATTTCAAATTTATTTCAAATTTCTAATACCTATGCATATACTAAATTGCAGCTTGTCCACACAATTTGGGAAACCAGTGAGGGTCACGCATGCAGTTAAATTCCTCTAGAAAAAATATTTGGTGAATCTGACTTCATATTCTTTTGGTACGAGCTTTTGAGCTCAGGCACCTCGATTTCACCTCTTTCCGACCATTTTCAAAAATCGGTATGGGTCACCACACAGGGCATCTCTGGGTTTAAATTTTTCCAAATTGTCTTCAGAATCTTTCATGAGAAACCATTACCCAGATTTGTGCCAAATTTCAACTCTATGACTATTTTGAAATTTTGGTGCGGACAGACGGACGGACGGACGGTCACAATGAGTAAATAAGCCCTTCGTCTCTGGCTCGGGCAAATAGATTTTTATCGTCTCTTAGGAATTTGATATATTTTTAATTACGTCCCTTAAAATTATCTGAAATTATCACTGGCGCCCCCGTAGTAACGCCAATGGATAACTTGGTAGTCTCTTGAGAAAGTTAGGGGCAACGTCCCAAACTGCCACCTCACGTCATAATGATTTCCATAAGTTATCCCAACCGGACGAATAGTTCGTCCTCACGACGACGACTTTGGTTCGAATACGAATTAAAGATCTCTGTAGGATGAGCCAATGTCCGCCGAAAAGTCGTAGTTTGGAATAAGCTGTAGGATGACTTGAGGGATGTTCCTCAACTCGTCCTCACGATGTCTTTTTTGGTATGTGTTAATAAATACGCAGTATTTCGTCTCACCATCCAGATTTTTCACTATCACATGTTTATTTCAGATTAAAATACATAAATAACTATGGTTATATAACAATGAATATTTATATATTATATTCGACGACCTGATCCCTTAATTTGGAGTGTCTGATTTTTTAACTTCCTGTAATTTTCAAAATAATATAAAATCTTATTATTTGTATGTTTGTTTTGAATATAATACATGAGCAATCACAAATTATTTTAAAACTAAACAAATTACCAGTTTATATTTCTCGGGAGCGTGCTGAAACCACGACGCCAACTTAATCTTGATATCCGAGTCAGTTACTGACGCACATTTAGGATTGTCCTTCACAGCAGCTAAAAGTAAATGTTGTTAGTGCTCAGGAACTTATCTAAATGACGCGATATGAATATTAAAAGTACTCACCAAATATAGCATCCTTAATCTTAAGGTTTTTAAATGCACGCTTGGGGTTAACTTTCCTAATCCCTTCCCAACAGAAATTACTAGCGAGGCGATACGTCATTATAATATTGGCCACGTTGTCCTTATAGTCGGAGCCACCAATCGTCTTTAAATATTGTACCTACATATATTTTATATAACATTATGGATATAGACAAGGTTGTTTTACTTGGGAGGTTGCTTGGGAGAATAATGTCAGTTTGTATTAGCTTCAGATTATTCTCCCCAGCAACCCCCAAGTAAAACAACCTTGGGATATATACATATATTAATACGAATGCTGTTGATATATTTGTGGCACCAATTGTTTCCGTCTCCTCGCCTCTTGGATGGAATTTTCCAATTCGTCAAAAGCGTCCATAGTATCAATGGGAAAATCAAATTCAACTTGGTCGACATAGGCGTTTTCTGCTCCCTTGCACATGTAGTCGAAAATATCCTTCGTATTCTTGGCTTGAATATCAAGTTGCTGTTTAATTTCGGCGAGAGCTTTGATCACGTTTTTCTCAAATTGTGTACTTCCTCCTATATTATCATAGTAATATTGTTAAAAATATATGTGCATAATTTTAGACTGCATTACGGAGTTTGATAAATTATTACCGTGAGGTTTCTCCAATACAGCATTATTTACAGAAAAAATATCTGCCGCATCTATCAGCAAACCATAACAAAATAATAATAATATTAATAAACGATCATTTAAGAGCCACAGATCCTACAGGCAATTTCAAATGTATCTACCTCGAAATTTCGTAACAGGAAAGAAATTTTCTGACGACGAACCAGTTCGAGGCATATTGTCTTGGTCCACTCGAGAGATAGTGCCAGATCCAGGTGCTAATACAAATCCTGGAGAACAGAAAAGTCCTGACTCCAGAGTGACATTCTTGGATATTGCTGGTGGCGGCGGTATCATAACTGGCGTCTTTCCCTTCACCGGAGGAAGGTTTTTCATTATCTTCGGCGATTCACTTCCATTATTTTCAATTGAACTTAGGTCACTGTCAGACATTTGACTCGAAAGTTCTCGAATTCGGGAAGCGCGGCCACGTTGATTTTCAATGCATTCGACTTCAGATTCTAAATTTGATGTGCATTCAGCCATCGATAAGTGTTCACGGGCGGCGGCATACGTGAGTATGGACAAATTAAAATAAATACGGATTAATAATAACGTTAATAATTGAACTGATTTTCCCATTGGTTGATAAAATTGTAATTAATTATTTACTCACCAAAGGTTCTCAAAATTCGGGCATTATAAATGTTCCATGTCTCCAAATTAACTGGGGATTGGTTTTTTACTGTAGTTTTCACCTTATCTGAATTTTTGAACGGAGGCCACCAGCATTTTAGGCACTCTTCGTCCTCTCGATCTAACCAAATGTCCGGCACCACTTCTACTTCATCTGTCTCAGGGAAATAAATTACTGAGAACACCATAATTAATTTGTGTGGATGAGGGGAAGGGCTGCAAAACCTCCAAGACTGTTGGGTAGCACTAAGTATTTCTGTTCGATATCTGAGAGAGAAAATTTTTGTAAGGGCCCAAATTTAGTAAACGTGAATATGCCCAGGAGTGTTGAGTCGCACGGCGAGGCGAAGAATGAAGAAATATTCTGACAAGCATTCGCAATAATGCAAACTTCCCCGCTCTTCAAGTCGGTGGCGAAGTTTCTCACTTTGATCAACTCTCCACTTCTCAGCTTAACAAATTGGTCACGCTTGTTGATCTTGACTATGAAATCTTCTTTTAATAATGTCTTATACTGTGGATCGCCTAACCCCCCTAATATTGGACCATTGCTGTGGATATGGGTTAAGTTTTGCAATTTTACTGGAGTTCTGAATGTGTCTCTCTCAGAAAGTCGCCTGCATACTTGGGAGAGAGAAGAAAACCCACCTCGTTTTAATCTTTTTAACACTCCCAAGTAATTTTCGAAAGCAAAGGCACTGTAATTATTAAGGTTGCCAAACTCTTTCACATCTTCGTGTACATGAAGTAATCCGTAGATGTTATACACAAGGTTTTCTCTTCCATAAAGATTGCTGAATTGTACGACAAAGTATTCTAGAAGCTGATTTGCATAATTTCCATAATCTCGGATTAATTTGTCACTTGAATAAATTGTAACAGCACACTGCAGCGTTAAAAAATGTTTCAAATATTCCGATGGCAAAATGTTTTGTAACACAATATATCCCGTATAGAGCAAAAACTGTCGCAATTCAGTAGCTTTCCACCTTGGCAATTCTACTAATGATCTGGACTGTCGATTAAATTCACTGCAAATGTGAAATCGGAGTGATTGTAATCGATCCGATATTGTAGAAACTTGGAAGGAGCTGAGTTTAATATATTTCGGTTTTCCACCAACCCACAAATTTAACAATTTCTTCACCACCCCCAAGTAAATTAAGTGCATGGATTCGAGTGGTAATCTCGAAACAAGTCCAATCCCTAGTTCTGACAGAATAGTTGTCCCACGATAATGGTCATCGTCCAGTGAGAATGGATTTCCAAAAGTTTCATCTGTCCTTCGAGTTTCGATTTTGTCAGAGAACACTATACGATTTTCATATCTCACTCCTGTTTGTGTGCATTTTGAGCACGCAGAATAACCAGAGTGATATTTCGTGCACATAATAAATGCTCTTGCAGGAGCATCACAGATAAACCCTTTAATTTCACTGGTATTAGTTTGTTTGTTACTTTAACCCCCGTTGAAAGTAATTGCTTGCATTCGTCGACAAAGTCCTTCAAATATTCATTTTGATCATTTGGCTTACCGCAACCTTGATAGA